CACAGTTCAAAGGCATAAATTCTTCAGCACTCAGCCTTCTTTATGGTCCAGCTCTCACAGCTATACATTACTACTGGATATTATTATTTAGCCACTTTTTAAATTGGCAACCTGATTCCTAATGCTTAAATATATCAGTTGACATATTTTGTATCATTAGTAGCAGAGGGTTCACATATTGAACTATACAATAATCTGGTTGTTTGGTTTGTTTTACTTAATGTAGTAGAAGAATCTTGCTGATGATTTCATTTTTTTTCCATTTCACATACTCAGAAGACAAAACTTCTGACGTAAGAGCCTCAGATAAAAACATGTACACTCTAGAATTAGGTGGGAGTTTTGCTATAATGCAACATGTTTATTTATTATTAAATTTGTATGCTGCCCATCTCCCCCAACGAGTGACTCTGACATTAAACCGTTAATGAAAAATCTGAAAGAACATTGGCTCATAAAGTTCATGGCATGTTCAGAGTATGGGAAATAAATTGAGTTTCAACTTTTATTTCAGGAAGGCAATATGCCAATAGGGGGGATCTGGTGGAATGACACCAATGATTGGAATACAAGAGCGTGTTTAAAAAGTACAAAAATAATAGGGAAGAGGAGCTGTTTGTTTAAAGACTCCACAGCTAATAAGAAATCCAAGTGAATGAATTTCATTCTTCAATACTCTAGAAAGCATCTTATTAAAATAAGTGGTAGAATGAATAAAAGCAATACAGTGGATATCTACTATCACCTTCCCAACAAAGATTGGTTGATGTCTTACCAAACAAAGCAAATTCCACATCTTTCAAAGAGTCATAAAGTAACAGTGATGAAAATCTTCAATTTTCCTGACATCTGTTGGGAGATAAATTTTGCAGAGCATGGTCTTTCCTGGAAATTCCTGTCTTTTCTTACTGACAACTTTCTCTTTCAGAAGGTGGAGAAAGACACAAGAGGATCAGCTATCCTTGACTTGATACTAAGCAATAGGGTTTTTCATAGAATCTGATCTACCAATGGTTTAGGCAGTTTCATAAGATCTAGTCTGCCCATTGTGATTGAATCCTCCTCTTTGCATTTTAAACCTGTAGAATTACTTTTCTGTATTGGCTTTGCTTTCAAGAAGAAAATGGCTATTCAGGAAAGTGAGAATGAATATGTGTGAAGGGGTGTTCCTGCTGTCTGCACCAGCCAATGAACAGCTTGAGCTACCCTGTATTCAATTAATGTATACAAACCAAAACAGAGTTCAGCACTCAAGATGAATTCAGGCCAAAAATAGTAGTTTAAAAGTGCAGCAGGTAAACACACACAGAGGCTGGTTTGAGGGTGAGAGGACGATCAGTGGAGGCTGACATAATCTGTTTCTGCCTTCAGGAAACGGTTGCCAGCCAGTTCCAATGATGGGGCAAGTGTGGATGTAGCCTTAGTTAAGGAAGTGAAAGTAATCAGAACATGGAGGAAAAGTGGCCATGTAATACTAGATATCTTACTTTTGATTTGATTTGATTATGTGCCATCAAATCAGCATTGACTCTTAGCAACCATATAGATAGATTTTCTCCAGGATAATCTGTCCCCAGCAGCTCTTCCAACAGTGCACTGTAACTGAGCCCATGCATCTTGTCCTCTTCTTTTTCCTTCCACCTTTCCTACAATTATGGATTTCTCAAGGGAGCTAGGTCTTTGGATAATGTGTCTAAAATTCAATAATTTGAGCCTGGTCATTTGTGTTTTGGGTGAAAACTCTGAATTGATTTCTTCAATGATCCATTTGTTTGAGTACTTGGTTATTCATGATAATCTCAGGAGTCTTTGCCAACACCAAGGTTCAAAAGCGTCAATAGTCTTTCTATCCTGCTTCTTCAAAGTGTAATTTTCACTTCCATATATTGCCCCAGGGAACAACATTAACTGCATAATTCTGATCTTTGCAGATATATACATATCATGGCATCTAAATATATTTTCTAAGGCCTTCATTTCTATCCTAGCAAGGATGACATATGTCTTGACTGCTGGCTCCTTTACTATTGGATTGTAAAAGTCAGAAGTTATCTACCATTTCATTATCTTCATTGTCAGTTCTAAGACTAGTTGCTGTATCTGTTGTCATTAGTTTATTTATTTGGTATTATTCAGTCACTGATTGCATTGTACCCAATATTGTACTTGCAATATCCTCCCTGACTATGAAAGCAACACTGTTCCTTTTTGTTTTTCATGTTCTGAGTACTAGTTCATCGGCCCACGGCAACTTGAGTTCAATCAAAGTAACTAGTTGTTCTCTTACCACTTCCTTGCCTCTTTTGACCTGCATTTATCTTCGGTCCCCATAATGCAACTTCTGACAGGTTGGAACACTTTTACTTTTTGTAAAAAGACAAATGCAAAGCTGGAATTAAGCAGCTCACAAACACTTCTCCCTATTGTCCATCACCATCTTGTCATCTTCTTCAACCAGTGGACCAACTGTTTCTTTGATTTTCCTCTTGTTCCACACATACCCAAAGAAGCCTTTTTTGAGGGGGGGGGGTATTTTTGGCATTCATTGCATGTCTCAGCTCATTCTATAATAAGAGATGGAACAAATGCTTATGAAATTTGCAGATGGCACAATATTAGGTGAGACAGCTCATAAGCTACAGATAACATTCAAAGTTACCTTGATAGGTTAGAAAAGTGGGCTGAAATGAACAACGAAATGTAACAGAGACAAATGCAATGTTCTTCACATAGGAAACAGAAATAAAATGCACTGGTATGGGGAAAACTGACTTGGCAATAGTATTAGTGAAGAAATCTTGATTAAAACTGAATATGAATCAGTAGTGTGATGTGGCTGCAAAAAACAAACAATTTTGGACTGTATTAATAAAAATGTAATTTCTAAATTAAAGGGAGTAATTATTCCAATTTATATGGTCAGATATTGTTTTGAGCATTGTATCCAAATCTGGGTACCACACTTAAAAGTAGGATCCAGAAAAATTGGAACAGATTCAGAATTGGTTAATAAGGATGATCAGTGGATTAAAACTAAATTATGTGAAGAGAACTTAAAGTAGTTAGACATGTTTCACTTTGAGAAGACTGCATGGGGTTGAATGCAGTACCATAGCTCTTTTCAAATACCAGAAACAATATCTCACAAAAGAAGGCACAGATGTTTTTGCTGTTTTTCCTTGAGAAGGGCATGGAATAATTGATTTAAGTTACAGGAAGGCAGATTCTGACTGTAATTTAAAAAAAAACCCCTCCTTCCTAATGGTTAATATAGTTCAACATTTGAATTCATTAGTCTGAGAGGTTGTGGGCTCCCCTTAACTGGATGGGCTCAAGTGGAGATTGGACAGCTGCCTGTCAAGGATGCCTTAGTTTAGATTCCTGCATGGAGAAAGGGTTTGGACTCAGGGGCTTAAATAGGCCCTTTCAAATCTGTAATTTTATAATTGTTGCAATTGAGAGTAAGAGTACTGGGACACAGTTTGTGCACTGTGCACATAGTTTGTCCTTCAGAAGAATACATGATAATGCCTATAATTCTTACCATTCACTCTGTGTTTCTTAAATTACCACTGCAATTTGCTTTAAATCAGATTGCCAGCTGCCCATCTTTTTCATAGATTATAAGAGTTTACTGGGGATCCTACACTGCAACGTAGGTACCCAGAGCGGTTCACTACAGACTCAGCTTAAAGCAGTTTTCTTTCAGTACCAGAGTGCATTAGGAAGAAAGTAGTCAATAGTTCTGCTAAAGCAACATAAAATACTTCCGTCAGTGTGTTTCTCCACTTTAGGATTGTTTTTAAAAGGCAGTCCGTAAGCGGAAGTCACCGTCACCTCTGATCTGCTGCACCCCACGAGCAGATATATCTGAACTTCGCATTCCGCCCTTCGGGAAACCCTTTCCGATAATGCACACTGAACTACAATACCCAGAATTCTTTTCAAAATCCACTCGCAAAATTCGCCTCATAAGCAAACGTGAGGACAGCGGCGTTTCTAAGATACGGCCGTCCGCCAGACTGATTGAAAGAACTGCTACCCAATCTGCTACTCGGCCTTCGTAAGCGATCCAATAATATTTCACAGTGTCGATAAGGTGGGCGGATTCTCTTGAGGGATCGCTGGCTGCCTAGCGCTAGGATGGAGGGCAAGGGAAAAGGAGGGGCTGGTTGCGACGGTAGAGAGGCAGAGCAGTCGCGTCCCGCGGGGACTGCAGGCAACTGAGCCGACAAGGGTGGCGGCGGCGGCAGTGAAGTGGTTAACCCTGCAGGGAGAGAGACAACGGCCGTTCGGCGAGTGCCGCTGATTGCCTGCCTCCTCCTCCTCCTCCTCCTCCTCCTCCT